AGAAGAAGAGGAAGAAGCAGAAGAAGCAGAAGCAGAAACAGAAGAAGAGGAAGAAGAGGAAGAAGCAGAAGAAGCAGAAGAAGCAGAAGCAGAAGCAGAAGCAGAAGCAGAAGAAGAAGAAGAAGAAGAAGAAGAAGAAGCAGAAGAAGAAGCAGAAGAAGCAGCAGCAGCAGCAGAAGAAGAAGAAGAAGAAGAGGAAGAAGCAGCAGAAGAAGAAGCAGAAGCAGCAGCAGCAGAAGAAGCAGCAGAAGAAGAAGCAGAAGAAGCAGAAGAAGCAGCAGAAGCAGAAGAAGAAGAGAAACATGTATTAAGTAAACTTCACATTATAAGTACAAAAGTATAACATTGAAAACCCAGAAAATACCATTACATAAAAAGCAAAAGCTTCTTTGGTTATCCATATAGTAGGCAAATATATATGCACATATACATATATGTATATATGTATATATGCATATATACATATATGTATGTATTTGCCTATATACATATATATTTGCCTACTATATATATGTATATATATATATTTGCCTACTATGGCAAATATATGTATATATATATATATATCAGAAGGAAGAGTTATAAATATTTATACCCATTCCTTCTCACTTTTGGCAAAAAGGAGAGAAAAAAATTTTAAAGGTAATGTTTTTTCATTTGTTGTACATTCACACCAAATTAAGACATTTGTAGTAGCAAGAGGGTTGGGAATGTGAATGTAAGGCAGGATTCTATATCTAACTCAAATTCCAATCATAATACTGATACTTTATACATACAAGAGTAATTTAATGCTTATATCACCTTAATAAAGAAAATAGAAAATAAAGGGGGAGAGAAAAGAGACGAATTGATGGATTACCTGGAGATACTTCCTCTTTCTGTCTAACTGTGTGGTCTTTGGTGAACTTCACCCTCTGATGGGCTCTAATGCAAGTCTTGCAGAGCCACTCAACACACTCTACACAAAACCCATTAGCTTCAGCATTGTCCTCACAGCTTGTACACACCTAGTGAGGAAAGGAATTGGTCATACAGATTGCTGAGAAAAGTAAAAAGCTGGTCACACCACAGTCAGACCTAAATGACATGCTAATTATGCTGGACTCTCAGTTTTCCTCTTACCAGCTCTGGGAAGTTTTTGTCAAATTATATGCATGTAAAATGGAATAATTATGCACAGGTAAGAATGATTGCAAGTACATGTTCACATTAGTTTAAGCTACTAAATTCCAGGCACAAGGTGTGGAGAACACAATAATCAGGGGAAACCAAACAGTCTCTGCTTATGATGGTACCTACCGTCTTGTAGATGGAGAACAGGCTCCAATCTCAGTTCCCCCACCAAATAGCCTGGGTGGTCTTGGGCAGGTTTGAGAAATGTATGTAATGGGAAGAGAAAGCTGGGCAAGCAGGAAGAGGGAAAGCTCTTTCTAAAAGATCCTATATCAGCACACCAACATATGAAAGGTGAATCAATAACTCTTAGATAAAATGCTTTCTAGAAACAGTGGAGAATAAATAACAAACTGCAGGCAAGGATAGTGTGTGACAGGTTGAAAGAACTGGAAAAAAGGTAGGTATGGCTAAAGTGCAGCCATCCAGGGGAGGGCTGGCAAGAGGAGGAGCTGTGGCAAGACATGCAGTCACAAGACAATGCTGGCAACTTTTAGGTACAACAGTGGCACAACCTCACTTGATGAAATGTGAAGCATGCATTAGAGATAAGGACAAGGATTTCTGCATAAAGAGGAAGAAAAATGTTTTTCAGTGGTTTGTGAGGCTTGGTAGAAGCAATGGTGAGGAAGATTTAGAAGTAAATTTGGCTGGGATGATGCACTGGGTATGGGAGGTGAAGAGACAGCCCATGGATTTCTAGTTTGTGAAGCCAGGTAGATGGTGGGGCCATTCTAAGTGTAGATATTAAGGTTAGAAAACATATAAGCAGTTCTCATTATCTTAAAAGAGTTTTATTTAAAAAAAAAAAAACCAAAACACCACACAAAACTGTCCTCATACAGATGTTGCCAAATTTCAGATATCTGGATTAACATTTCCATGAATTGAAATCCTTTTTCTTATCTCTTATCACCTTAAACTTTGCTGACATTGTTTTGATACTGCGGACCTGTGCTTTCTGGTAATTACTTTGGTTCTTGACACCTGACAATCCTAGTTTCCCCTCAGTACCCTTTTGGTTCCCTTCCTCCAATCTAGATTTCTGTTATTTCTGAGGACTAATCTCAAGTACCTCTCTCATCTTCAACTCTCATCTAGCTAAAGGAATGTTTATTTACATTGCTCAAGAGAGATCTCTCTCTACTATATGAAATGATTTTAAAGACAAATAGGTAAAAAATGAATATGTAAAGCATAGTGCTTATTTAAGAGTGAAGGGATAAAGGGGATGATTTGCTGAGTACAAATGTGAGTGGCTCACATTTGTCTGTAATCAGATACTCAGGAGGGTAAGATCTGAAGACTAAAGTTCAAAGCCAGACCACCAAAAAGCCAGAAGTGGAGCTGTGGCTCAAACAGTAGAACACAAGGTATGAATAAAGAAGTTAAAGGACAGTGACTAGGCCCTGAGTTCAAGCTCTAAAACTGGCACACACACTAAAAGGGGGTGAGGGAATTTTTAGCCAAGCCAACGCTGGAATGACCTGTCTTTGGTCAAGCACACGGTCAAGCACGTGAGTGCATATCTGGTGTTCTGCTTGACTTGCGGAAATAAGGTGGGAATCAATCCTTCAGACTCATGTCGTCAGATACATAAAAAGATGGCCCAGAGGGGAGAGTTAAATCCTTCAGATTAAAAAAAGAAAGTTCTGTGAATATACCCTGCTTTATAGATTCTGCCTTTGAAAAGTCTGTGGGTGTTTTATATGTAGGTATATATAGTTTTAAAACATAAGTTTTAAAAATTTAAATCCCTAAACATCAAAACTAAGATGAAACAAATGAAGCTAGCTACCAAGTAGGTCGTTTAACCACACACAAAAAGATATTACAGTAACTTTAAAACATGATGACTTGATTATCTTCTGGCACATATATTTAGCAATTGTTGTCTTTCTTGACTTTTGTTTTGTTTCAACCACTATAATTTCCCCTTAGCTTAAACTACTATACCACACACTCATATTCTGTAAGCCGCATTTGTACATTACAATGGATAGTGCAGGAAGGAAGTGCAGTTCAAGGAAGAACTTGACCTTTGTGAGTTCAAGAACTTCTATAAATATTGCTCCAAACAAGGCTGTTCTAGCCCAACTGGAGCACTTCCTTCTTGCAGAAACAGCTCTGGTCTGAGCATTCAGACTCCAGTACCAGCCAATGGCACTTCCTCTTTAGATGTTTGAGCTCAAGACCTGTATGACAACTATCTTAACTTTTTAATTTAAAGTTAAATTTCTTCATCCTCATGAGGTGCTGGGGATGGAACGCTTGGCCTTGTGATGTTAGAACAAATTCTCTTAACTGAACTACATATCCCCTTAGTCCATAACTTTTTTTTTTCTGGGCAGGAAGTGGGAGGGGTCAGTATTAGGGTTTGAACTCAAGAATCTCTACCACTAGCCTACACCTTCAAGCCTTTTTGCTTTATTTTTTTTAGATAGGCCTTATTTTCTTGCCAAAGTCAGCTTCAGACCTCTGGCTGAGGCCTTCTGCCTCCCAATCAGCTGAAATTGTGGTCTGTACCACCATGCTGGGCCTCTAACTTTAATATCAACTTTCTGCCCATATTTCTTCAGTTGCCTCCCAATGTTGCTAACTCTGATACTTTAAATATTCTTTTTTATCTTTTCAGAAAACATCTGAGGATTTTAAGGATTTAAACAACTGCCAATTGCATAAAAATATAACATAAAATATATAATCTGTTCTTTTTTTTGGAAAATAATTATTGCCAGTGTAGTTAAGAACTAAGATTTCTATGCTGTGTGCTGGTGGTTCATGCCTGTAATCAGGGTTTGAAGCCAGCCGAGCTGGCTTCAAAACAACTCAGAAAAAGCCAGGAGTGGTACTATGGTTCAAGTGGTAGAGGGCTAGCATTGAACAAAAGAAGCTCAGGGACAGCACTCAAGCCCTGAGTTGAATCCCCAAGATAAGCGCAAAGATTTATAATATAGAAAAAATATAAACATAAGCAAAAAAGTAAACTCCTACAAGTCTAAATTTGACTTAAAATATCAATATATACTTACATTTTTATTAATTTAATAAAAAGACTTCATTATTTTCCTATAAGGCCTAGAAAACTGAACAACATAATGATGATTAATAAGCATTCTTTGTGTTTGTGTGTGTGTGTGTGTGTGTGTGTGTGTTGGAGACTCCTAAATGCTTATACACACAATCTATTGTTGAGCTACCAGACTAATTAATTTCTATTATTTAAAGCTGATTTCATAACAATTAGAAACTTTATCCCCTCCAAAAAGGCCTGGTGTGGGCTTTAATGTGGCCTTCCCACATTAGAAAGAATTGTGGATGCTTTTGAAGAATTTTAATGAGAAGTGGCTATTGTTCACTTATAAAGTGAACCCTAAATTCCTGTGGTTTTTCCCAAAAATAAAAACAAAATAAAACAAAGACCACAGAAATTAGCCATGTGTCCTAATTAGTATAGCTATTAAACATTTCCTAATCAGGTGATAACTAGCTAAACAGTATTTAACCAGATTTAGTATCTTACTAGGTCTTCAGTTCTAAATCTGAGGAACTGTCTGGAAGAGTCATCCACAAATCCACAAGTAGACCAATACACTATACTTGGCAAATACTAACACCTACTAGACTGTTACAAGTTATCCATAGCAGCCTGATGTCTAAATTTAAGAAGAAAATAGAAATGTTCAATATGTTAAACTGAAGTAGATGAATCAAACTGGTGCCATCATGGCCACGTGATGGATGATGGGAAATTGGGTCTAATTGGCACCATCTTGTCTTCATGATGGAGGCAGGAAGTCTCACCTCCCAGGTGATAGATGTGCCTGAATTGCTAGAGGCAGGGGTGGGGACTTGGACAATATGTTATTGGACCTGCAGGTTTAGGGTGGTGAACTCTCAAGCTTCCTGTGACCTTGCCCCCTGACCTGACCCTAGTTAGGCCCAGATCAGCTCAGCTGTTGGTATGCCGTGCCCCATGTCCTGTCTCCTGCTGCTTCTCTGGTCACCATGGTGTCCTACTTTAGCTCTCCTTTGAGGTTGATCTGGTTTGTTGGCATTGTTTTTCTGTTTCTTCTTTCCTTTTCTGCTCTCAGTTTTCTAACAGTGGTAAGTATGTTTGTGGGCTTCGGGCCTTTGTAACAGGAATCTGCCTGCATTCAATGGCCTTCTAATAGACTCTCCCAATTCTACCTCTCAAAATGTGGCTTCTCTGTTTTCCCGCCACATAACAAAACCAGGCATGGTGGTGCATGCCCATAATCCCAGCCCTCAGGAATTTGAGGCCAGTCAGTTAGTGATCTCATGTCAAAAGTACACGAAACAAGGCTGGCACAATGGCTGATGGCAGTAATCCTAGCACTAGATATGGGGATCTCAGCTGGAAGCCAGCCCAGGCAAATAAAGGTATGAGAGATCCTATTTCGAAAGGCAAACTAGGCCATCATTCTTAAACAGTTGGGCACTGGTGGCTCCTGCCTGTAATGCTAGCTACTCAGGAGGCTGAGATCATGGCTCAAAGCCAGTTAAAAGCAGGACTCTTCAATTAACCAGCAAAAAACCAGAAGTGGAGCTGTGGCTCAAGTGGCAGAACACTAGCTTTGAGCAAAAAAGCTCAGGAAAGGGGCAGAAGCCTTGAGTTCAAGCCCCAGGACAAGCACTAAATTATGAAAAAAAAAAAAACAAAAAAACAAAAAAACCCAACGATGAAAGAAAAAAAAAAGAAGAAAAGGCTGAGGATGTGGTGAAAAACAGAATGAAAGAGGAAGTGACACTGTACAAAGGAAATATACACATTACCTGACTTGTGCAACAGCAACACCTCTATACATCAGCTTTACAAAAAGAAAATTGATAGGGTATGCCAAGGCACTGGGGGTCCACATCTCTAACCTACTTTAGAAGGCAAGATCTAGAGGATCAGGGACATGTCAGGCAGAAACATTTACTAAACTCCATCTCTCCATCTCAAAATTAACTCAGCTTAGCAAGCACAATGTCCTGAGTTCAAGCCCTGGTACTACACTCTCTCTCCACAAAAAAAAAAAAAAATCAACAAACAAAACCTCACAAAAAACAAGTATTTGTAGTGTGGGTTAGAGAAGTAGAAAAGAAAGATACCATGGGGTATCTAAATCAAAGAGCTTGTACAATATTGCCAAATAAAGCTTTCAAAGTAATACCATTATTACCATTATTATATGTGTTTTTGTAAGAGGCGGGGTCGTATCACATAGCCCTGGCTGGCTTGGGATTTCCAGGCTACTCTTGACCGGGGCAAGGCTGGCTTTAATCTCCCAACTGTTGATATCTCAGGCATATGCCACATGCCACTACACTCGGCCAAAAAGACTTTCTTTAAAAAAAAAAATTAATACACGCTAACTGAGTACAATGAAATGAAATAATGCTGAATATACAATAGTGTTTCTCAATGGCGGAGGAAGCCAGGACATGGGAGATGGAACCAGGCAGGGGCTTCTGCTCTGAATTGTTTGATTTCCTAGTTGAATTATTCATTATTGCTTACTACACCAAGATGAAAGGTCTAAAGTGTGGCTCCTGTTAGGCAGAATCCTTCAGTATTTTTGGCTGCATCATAATGCACAGAAGCTTGAGATTTATATACTTACCTGATTAGATTTTTCTACTGTACTGCTGGGAACCTCAGTAGTGTCCTTCACGAAAAAATTATCTATGATGTGTCTCTCTGCACATTCTTGGCTGCACACTGGACATCGGATAACTCCAACTGGGGAAGACAAAACTGCATTCTAAGTTTTAGTGCAAATACATTGAGTATTAAACCAGTACATGTCTTCTAAAGTGTAATCTGTTTCTAATGATTTCCATGTTTTTTAAATTATACTTTCTTCCTTGCACGTGCTAGGCAAGTGCCTAGCACTTTAAGCCACACTTTCAGCCCATAAATCCTCCCCATCTTAAATGTCATGTTCTCTCTCCAAGTAAATATCCCCCTGGCTACTGGTTTTACTGTTTAATGACTTCTTTAGCATTGGTTTTCAAACAGGAATGTAGAGAATGATAGGATTTTACAAACAAGGAATTTTTAAGTGAAATGCATTAAGAACAAACACAAAGTAATCCAAACATCAATTTTATATGTATATATTAAACAACAAACAAAATTTTTAATTAAACCATGCCAGGTGCTTGTGGTTTACACCTGTAATCCTAGACACTCAGGAGGCTGACATCTGAGCATCACTGTTTGAAATCAGTTTGGGCAGACAAATCTGAGATTCTCATCTCCAATTAACCATCAAAAAGCCAGAAAGGGAAATGTGACTCATGAGGCAGAGTGCTAGCCATGAGCAAAAAAGCTAATGGCAAGAGGTCTCTAGCCTGAATTCAAGCCTGACACAGAAGAATAAATAAGCAAAAACAAAACTAAAAAAAGTTTAAAGATTTGAAATTATTTTAAAAGTTATTACATTCAAAAACATTAAAAATTGGGCTGGGAAAGTGGCTCAGTGGTAGAGTGCTTGCCTAGCATGCATGGGGCCCTGGGTTCAATTCCTCAGTACCTCATAAGCAGAAAAAGCTAGAAATGGCCCTGTGGCTTAAGTAGTAGAGCACTAGCCTTGAGTTGAAGAGCTGAGGGACAGTGCCTAAGCCCAGAGTTCAGACCCCATGACCGAAAAAAAAAAATAATGAAGACATCTTCATGTTCACGATGGCAAAAATGCGAATGTTCCCCAAACATGGGCCACTCACCTAATAAATGAGATTTAACCACAAACCTAACAGTTGTTAAGGTGGTACTTAAGCAAAGGGACTGTTGAGATGCCTTGTGGAAGGTCACAAGGTCATTGGAGGTGTGCCCTGGACAGAGGATGTGTGATCCCAATATGTGCATATGAAATATTGCATCAGTACTAGACATTTACAGATATTTTGGGCTATTAATCCCTAAGAAAATATAGTATAGCATAGCATAGTAGACTGTACTGGTTAGTACAAATATTCTAGAGATTATTAGTTAAATATTAAGGAAGGATGATTGAAGGCTACATGGAAATAGTATGCCATTTAATATGAGACTTGACCATCTTTGGATTTTGCTAAATGACTGGAACTTATTGCCCCAGATAATGAAAGATGACTATAGTTAGAATAATCAGGAGTATGTGTTACTGACAACAGGAACAGACAGAACAGAATAGAAAACCTGAAACAGACTCATACCAGTATTTTCAACCAATGGTTGGTAGAACTGCAAAGTATCCTTATACTGACAAGTATAAAAGTATCCACAAATTGAAGACTCAACACAGAAGTCAATTTCCCACAAATTGATCTATTGGCTGATACATTCCCATCAAAATCCCAACAAGACTTTTTGCACTTGTAGACAGGTTAAATATTTTCTATAGAAAGGAAAATGGCATTAGAATAGCTAAATCAATTTTGAAAAAAAAGTGACAATAATCACAACATCCAATTTTTGAAATGTATATAAACATAATAATTGAGACAGAGGGAGACTGGGGAGGACACAAAAATAAATGGGGCAGAATAGAAAACCCCCCAAAGAAACTCATAAGGAAGCCAAGCTGGTTTCTGACAGAATGTGAAGGCAATTTAATGGAAGAAAGTCTTTTCAATAAATTGTACAGCAACACCTGGGTAGTCCTAGGGTAAAAAGCTGAACCTAACTGAAATGTCACACTTCATACAAGTTTAACTTAATGTACATCAGATTTAAATGTAAACTATGGAATTACAAAACAATTAGAAGAAAATTGTGGGGAAGTGTTCTTAAACATAACACAAAAAGGGGCTGGGAAGGTGGCTCAGTGGTAGAGCGCTTGCCTTGCATGCATGAGGCCTTGGGTTTGATTCCTCAGCACCACATAAACAGAAAAAGCCAGAAGTGGCGCTGTGGCTCAAGTGGTAGAGTGCTAGCCTTGAGCTGAAAAGCTGAGGGACAGCGCCCAGGCCCAGAGTTCAGGACCCATGACTGGACCCAAAAAAACAAAACAAAAAAACATAACACAAAAAATACAATCAATAAAAAATACTAGAGAACCTGATCATCAAAATTAATAACTTTTTTGCTCTATAAAAGTATAAGGAAGATGAAAAGACACACACACACACACACACTGGGAGAACATATCTGCAAATTTTGTGCTTGACAAAGGATCAGGTTTATATTATACAAAGAATCTCACAATGCAACAGCAAAAATAATGAGCAATGGGCAAAAGACATATTTCACTGTGGCAAATAAACTCATGCTAAGTTGCTCCAAATATTACTAGCTGCTGGCCAAATGTAACTATGACCACAGTAAAATATCACTACATACTTATTAGAACAGCTAAAAATTTTTTTTTAAATGAGGGTAATAATCAAACAGGCAAAAATGTGAACGAACTGTTTCTTATAAACTGCCAAAAAAAGTCAAACAGCTGCTGCTTTAATAGTTTAATACATAAGTTTGCCATATAACTCAGCAAGTGCATTCCTGAGTATTCCAGAGAAATATACTTAAGTCCTGAAAATGTTCATGATTAAAAAACAGGTATATCTATACCAAGAAATATTAATCAGTGGTCAGAAGCCCGTGGCTCATGCCGGTAATCCTAGCTACTCAGGAGGCTGAGATCTGAGGTTCATGGTCCCAAGCCAGCCTGGGCAGAAAAGCGTGAAACTCATCTCCAATAAACCACTAGAAAATCAGAAGTAGCTTTGTGGCTCAAGAGCACTACTACCCTTGAGCTGAAGAGCTGAAGGACAACACACAGATCCAGAGTTCAAGCCCCATGACAGACAAAAACCAAAACCAAAACAAAACATAAAAAACCAAAATATTAATCAGCATATACATCAACTGGATGGATCTTGGGAGCATCAGTCTGAATGGAAAAAAGCCAATTTTTAAAGGTCCCTTGCAAAAGACTTCACTTACACATTTTAGTAAAATGACAAGACTTAACAGGTAACAGGACAAAGTTGGAAGGAATTATCAATGGGGATGGGAGGGAGAAGGTGGAAAGGAAAGCTCTTGTGGTGTATTGTGGAGTATTGGCATGGTGATGTGAAGATGAATTATTATTCTGAATTATTAAAGATACTGCAGACTATTTGATCTCAACTAAGTAGAACATCATGGAGAGATGGAATGTTGCATGATTGGAGCCAAAATCATCTGGGTCCACCTTAGGCATTCATAAAAGTGGCCATATACTTTGAACCTTTTATGTGACAAATTTTTCATGACTATTAGGGTAAACCTCTCAGGATATACTGTTAAGCTTGTTTGCTACACCGTATGATGAAAAGCAGATTGCCAATTCTAAAAGCTATTAATGCTCTAACATCTGGACATTTTTTGTGGGGGGTGGGGTGGGGGGCTGGTTCAGAAGCTTCAATGCAGGTCCTGGTGGCTGTTTCTGTGCTTTTGTGTGTAAAGCTAGCACTCTACCACAGATCTACTTCTGGCTTTCTGGAGGTTAGCTGGAGATGAGAGTCTTATGAACTTTACTGATCCTCAAATCTCAAACCATAATCCTCAAATCTCAGCTTCCAGAGTAGGTATGACTACAAGTATCAGCAGCCACTGGTGCTTGGCAACTTCTGGAATTTATAGAGAATATTTTCCAGCACTCTACCAAATGTCCTCATTAATTTATTTGGATTATGGACTTTTAATTTTGCCTTTTTTTTTCTGGTCCTGGGGCTTGAACTCAGGGCCTGGGTTCTGTCCATAAGCCTCTCTTTGCTCAAGGCTAGCCTTGAGCTGAAGAGCTGAGGGACAGCGCTCAGGCCCAGAGTTCAGGACCCATGACCAACCAAAACAAACAAACAAAAAGAAAACAACAATGTTTGTGACAGTATTTTCTATAAAAGCCCTCAAGAAGCTGGATGCCAGTGGCTCACGCTGTAATTCTAGCTACTCAGGAGGCTGAGATCTGAGGATTGAGGTTTGAAGCCAGTCTAGGCAGGTAAGTCCATGAGACTCTTACCTCCAATTAATGACAGAAAAAGCTGGAAGTGCTACTGCGGCTCAAGTGGTAGAGTGCTAGCCTTGAGCAAAAAGGAGCTCAGGGACTGAGCGCAGAAAAAACATCTTAAATGGAAAACAAGTTCCAGAAGAACACACATTGTATCTCATTACATTTCATAATAGGGGTTGGTGGTGTAGCTTAGTTGGCAGAGCATTTTCTTAGCATGTACAAGGGTTCTGAGTAGATTTGATCCCCAGTACTACAAAACAAAACTAAAGGGTCAAACCCAAATAAATTGTTTTATATTTTAGTGGCTACGCTTAGCAGAGAGGATGGGAGAAGCAGGTCTCCTTAAATATTAAGTCTAGCTTTCTGGAACTAAATAGCTTTTAAAAGCCAGAACAGAGGCATAAGCTGAAGACTTGCTAGTGCCCTCGCACTGAGACTCGAAGAGTCTAAAATCAGTCACCCTCACAGCACCTCAGCTCCGGTGAGGTAAGTGTTGCCGTGAACTGCCAATGGGCACATATACCAAACAGCAAATCTGGGATTTGAATCCTCTCTCATGTCCTATCTGGTACAGATTTCTAGAGGCAAAAATTTAAATAAAAACACAGGTTGGTTCAAGGTTTATCTCAGTGATAGAACATATGCAAACTCCCCAGCACAAAAAAAACAAAACGTAACAACAAGAAAAGACAGGGCAAAACAAGACCAAAAACCGTCATGGACTTTACAGACCTAGATTAGTCTTATTGCTTACAATATTGACATA